TAAACAAATGGCACAGATCAATTTTAACCTGGAGACCATACCAACACAAAAGACCCAAAGGCAGACCTCCTATGAGATGGACAGATGATCTGAAAAGGACTGCCGGGAAAAATTGGCTACAAGTAGCGTACAATAAAAAACAATGGAAAGGAAGACTTGAAGAGGCTTATGTTCAGATGTGGACGTAAATGGCTAGACAAAAAGAAGACGAAAAAGAACCAGGTCTTCTGGCCACGTCCTCTTCAGTCTTCGTTCCTCCATTGGTGACTGATATAATTCACTGATAATTTGGCTGTGGTGCGTTAAATTAAGAATTTTGGCCTTGTTGGCTTGAAGTGATATGACAACTTTTAAGGTTGATGCTCCTAGGTCATTGTGGATGGTTGGATTGCTCACATACCAAGGGGCATTATATATCATATTTGTGTATTTTTGATTGGATTGTCTGCACAATTTTTGTGTTTGAAGGCTTGCTATAGCCACAGAGTTCTATGGCGTAAATCCATGTTGGTTTTAGTATGACTTTGTAAAGCAGTATTTTGTTCTCTTATGACAGTTGTGACTTTCTGCCAAGTAACCAACACATTTGTTTTAATTTTATATTGAGCTGAATTTTTTGGCATTAATGTGTTGCTTCCAGGTAAGATTTCGGTCTAAATTCAACCCAATATATTTCACATCTCTAGCAGCAGTTTTTAGACTGATTGTACTTGTGATTTAGGCTGATTTTTCGTTATAGACTTCATTTTTTCAACCAATTCTCTAAGGTATGCAAGTAATTTTGCAGCTTTTCAGATGCTAGGTCTGGGTCTTTGTTTAAAACTAAAACGGCTGTATCACCAGAAAAAGTCGCCACTGTGGCGTCTTCTGTAATAGGTATGTCAGCAGTAAGGATTAGGTCCAGGAAGAGACCGATTATACTTGAGAAACTCCGGATTGGATTGAGTTGAGTTGGTAGGTTGAGAAATCATTATTGAATTTAACTTAGAACGAAAATTCTGCGTCCAACTTCTATCATGTTTTCTTATCGCAGAAATTATTAGTGCCGGTTTCTTGAATTTTTTAGTTGCTCTTCATAGTATAGAGGGGTTATCTAGAGAGAAATATGGAACTTAAAGTCAGAAAGATTTGAATTTTATTCTGAAACTATGACTAACGCTGCCCCAATCAGGGTTAGAGACTTCACAAGGTAGTTAATTTAAATATTGATGATAATAGTCAACCAAAGATCAAGTCATATAAACTGTAGGATATAATTAAATACTAGAGTATATTTTTAAAATGAGGTAGACTGCTTTCTCAGAATTCTAAGCTCCGAGGCCCAAGATACATAGGCCTACATCATCTACAAACGCTACGTTTTATTTCATTAAGTATAAGAGTAAAATGTTGAAAAAATATTTCATAAGTGTGTGATGAATAGAGCTCGGATTTAGAAGCAACAAAAATTTAAGAAAAATGCGCACATGTAGACAACGATTTTTATTAAAAAAGAGAGAAATCTTAACATATAGACAAATATCTGATTAATTAATATACAGAGTGAATTAACACAATTATATTTAAACAATATAAGATAAGTAACATAATAAATTAATAACTAAATAATTGTTAATTAATAATTAAACATTATAACCTTTATTATCTTTGCTATAACAATCCTTTCTGATAAGTATTGGCACTCTTTGATGTGACTTAGGTATTTTTGGTGTATTAGTAAGGTTACACCTTCTTTGGTCCTGTATTTCTTTTGCCACTACACTATAGATTAGTATGTATTCATCTAACTTCGATTGTCCTTTTCCTTTCTTTTTTTACTGTAGAGCACAAATGTCTATTTGTTTCTGTTTCATCACTTGGGTTGGGATATTTCTTGTTCCCTTGAGTTGAACGATCTGATATTCCAAGTAGTAATTCTAATCTGGGTTTTGGATGTTTTTTGCTTGTCCTTATTTCTTGCCGTGGTCTTCATAATATCAATCTGGTTCCAAGGCTGTACATTGTTTCTTTGAGCAGTATTCGTTTCTACGATTGGTAGGTTGCTAACTTTGCCAATCACCCTCCACATTTTATCTGGGCTTGGGACCAGCTGTGGTAATCACTAACCGCAGAACTACTCAATCTACCCCGCAATCATCTCAGGCAAAGCTTGACATGACCCAGTAAATTAAACCTTACATCATGATTTTGACATACGTTTAATAGAATAGTGACAGACTCTCAAATCTTTTTTTGGTCTGCTAGATCACCTAACTTAACCCCTCTGAATTATTTTTATGGGGTTACTTAAAATAAAATTTAACCAGCAAGGGTTGTTTCAAGAAGTAAATCATTTAAAAAGACTTGTTTCAGAAGTATGCCACACAACTACACCAGCTATGACAAACTATGTATTACGAGAATTTGCCAATGCATTGATCAAATTTATTCTAAGAGAGGGATGATATGTCATGTCGGGGTATTAGCTAAATCAGTGAAAATTAATTATTTAAATTTGAAAGTGGTTAAAAGACATTAAAAACAGATAGGTTTTTATTAATCTTAAGAGATAAACGTTTATTATTAAAATTAACAAAATAAAGTTTAATTTATAAACTAAAAATATTGGTAAAAATAAAAAAACCTGATTTTTATTGTACATAAATTAACGATGTATATATATATATATATATATATATATATATATATATATATATATACATATATATATATATATATATATATATATAATATATATATATATATATATTTATTTATATATACATAATATAACAACCACATTGTATCTCACGGTCCAATAAAGCCGACTGGAGAATTGTATTTAGACGTTTCTTCTCTCTTCCGATCCTCGTCTATCTCTATCCATTCACTAATGTATTATCAGATTATAACGCACTTAAATGTGCCTGCTTCACAACAATCCTCTTAGCTTTAGAAGTTTTGTGTTGTTATCCCCCAACAGCACATGGGAATTATTTGTATAACGTTATTTGTTTTAAAAGTTGGAATTTATACAATCATACAGGATTTTTAACTGTAGATGGTTGCAAAAGAAGTATGTAATAAGAATTTCCCGTAAGTGTCTCATTCATTGCTGTTTAATAGTATAAAAGAAAAACTTAATAAAAAATCTAACCTCACAATTCTAGAGGTTTCTAATAAAAAAGACATCGTTGAGATTTCCAGCCTTCTGTCGTCACAGATATCTTTTATTATCTTAATAAAAGTCTTCTAATGTCTTACGACATCGTTCTCTATTTTTCTGGCACATAAACTTATCTACGTCCATATGTTCAAACCTATCTTAAATTTGGCCAAATATAGGAATAGCCTTTTTTAAATCATGGAAAAGAATGTGTTAATACACATTACACACACGAAATTTAAAAACTAAAATTAGTTAGCAACAGCTAAAAAATTAAGATATAAATATTCTTCTATTCGCTCCAATTATTTGGAAAAAAATTTTGACTGCTCAAATATGCTGATACATATCATGTATCATGAATTATGTACATGTCAAAGTTTTCTGTATATCTAAAAATCTTTCCTGACAAAATGTTTTGTATCTATTCCTATTCAATGTTTAGTATTTAGAGATTAATCTCTGTGAACTAAAGTTTTTTATTGTTTTGACAAATTTCTGTCTGTCATCAAAAAAATCTGCATCAATTACGATTTTTTGCTCTAATAACCTGTTAGTCTCTTTTGCTAATTATATTATTAGCCTAAATTAAGCAACAAGGAATTTTCACCTGTAGATTTCCTATTATCCGATCAAACACTAATAAGAAGAAATAAGGATTACACACTGAGTCCTAATACAATTCTACTATCCTATGAATGCTCTCTCTTTCTCCCTCTCCCACATCTATTTTACCACTAATTACTACTGTATTCGGCATATCTCCCATACCTTTACATACTCTCCAATAATTTCTTTTTTATTAAACACCCACAACAGAACCTTTTAACAACGTTATCACATGCTTTCTCAAGATCATTTATTACCCTATAAGCGTGTGATTTTTTATTCCTATTTTTTTTTTCACCAACTGCTTTAATGAAAATTTCACTCATTCTTGATTTACCTTAAATAAATCTAAACTGATTTTCGAATACTTTGATTTCTTCACTGCAAAACTTTTAATGTCATAGATCCACCGCATTTGAAGCCTTCCTCACGATAATATATATATATACCTATTCTTTGCTGCGTGTGGTCTCTAACACTATATTTCTCCACTTCAATTTTATTTCAATGAATCTTTTTTTTTCAATAACATCTTTTAGTTATGTTTTCTGTCTAATTGATAAATTAGTTTGATGTTCCCAAAGTGAAATCCACAGCATCTGTCGGTCTATGACTCTTTGAGTTTTCTCCAACTTTTACAAATTTGCTTTGGTAAATGTCCATGTCTTTAGGCTCCGTATGTTAGGACAGACAAACTACAAGAAATAAATGCTGTGATTTAAAATTTATGAAAAATTCTTTTATTTTCGTTGCATAAGGTAGTTTTTTAAAAGCAGTCCTCCGATTCTTATTCTTCTACTTATTTTCCTTGTCTGGTTTTCTTTATTTAGTTTTATATAATGGCCTAGATAGACGTATCCATCTACATGTTTCGGGATGGTTACTCCTTAGTACCTTTTCATTAGTTTTTCTTGTTGTCCAAGGCATCTAGATCCTTAGCCCCTGCTTATTTGCATAACCATTCTGCTATTTGCTAAATTTCTTGTTACACTTTCTTGATTTTAATTTTGGTGAATATTGCTATAACCATGAACTTTAGTTAAACACGTTTACATGGGTTTCAATAGGTTCAAAATATAAATAGTTAAAGACCACATACCTAAATACATGTAATTAAAAACCTGTTTATTTAAGTATTAAAGTTTATAAAATATATAAGCTAATTTAAAGATATTGAATTATAAATAAATCTAATTTGTTAATTTAAAACCTTATTAAATCGACCAAACAGTTACCCTCTTTTCAGAAGAAGACCTGATGCACCATGCGATGAGCCAAAACTCATTGTTTGGGTGTTCTACTGCAGGCCATAGCGGAATCAACCAACTAGGAGGCGTCTACGTCAATGGTCGACCACTTCCCGACTCCACTAGACAGAAAATCGTGGAACTAGCTCACTCCGGAGCTCGCCCATGTGACATTTCTAGAATACTTCAGGTCTCCAATGGTTGCGTATCGAAGATCCTCGGCAGGTAATATTCTGGTAGGAATCCTGGCTGTATTTTTGGCTGATGTTAGTTTTGTTGGCAGGTATTATGAGACTGGATCCATTAAGCCTAGAGCTATTGGTGGATCGAAACCTAGGGTAGCGACGACACCGGTGGTGAATAAGATTGCAGAGTTTAAAAGGGAGTGTCCTTCGATTTTTGCATGGGAAATCAGAGATAGGCTGCTTAGCGAGGGTGTGTGCAATAACGACAATATACCTAGCGTAAGTACAACTTTATATTAACAGATATTAAAATTTAAAAAATAAAGATATTAAATCGAGCATGTATTAACGAAAGAAACTACTTATTACCTCAATAAAAAGCTATTCCTTCATTACTTTTACGTACTGTTACGTACTGTTACGTACGGTACGTACTTAAATTTTGGAATTGGAACCACAATTGGTTTTAAAACGTGAGAATATGAATCTGAAACGCTTTTCTTTTTGACTGACACATAAATATGTCACCATTCATAATACGGGAATTATTCCTAAAAAGAGGCTTAAATTAACATAGTAACGTTATGAACGATACCAATTTAAATATTTCTGTTGGAATCCTGTCAGAAATACCTAAATAAAGATAACAATTTTCATCTCAAAAAACATAATTTGTCAAGTTGGAGACAGTCACATTAATTTAAGTTAAAGGTCATAAGATTCTGTTTTTTCTATACCTAAAATACTTGTTCATATTATTTAAATGGTTAGAGTTCAGTCGTAAACAACATTGGTGCAATTATTGATTCTGGTTTTTTCAATATTTCTTTCGAGAATTTTTTCCAGCTATAAAATATTAACAGTAGAAGGCTAGAATGAGTTAGCAGAAATATGGAACCAAAAAAAAATAAAATACGTCAAAGGATATATCACGACTACTGTACTAGTTTCAAAAGTATTCTCAATTACAATTAATAACAATACATACAAAAATAAGTTATATTATCGAACAATGAAGAAATCCAAGTAATATTAAAGAGTATTAGAGTTCTGCAACTATAGAGCTAATATCTTTTAGTCTCAACAAAGTTTCTCGATATGGGTTTGGGTATAGTTTACTTAGGGAAATTTCAAGGAATCGTTCAAGTGTACTTTGCATTCTCTCTATAGAATCAGAGTTTGTAACATAGATAAAATGCTATTTTGTAACTCCGTATTTTGAATATTTTTTAATTGTTAAAAACCAACATTGTACAAACAATGGATGAAGTTAAAATTATTAAATGTTATAAAGGTGTATCTAAACCATCTGGAAATAAAATTTGTTTAATAATGTAATTAAGGTGGTAGCTAAAAGAATGGTCTATCTGCTAAAAGTGTATTTTGAGAAACAAGCATTTAAAGATTTAACATCCATGCCTAAGGCGAACCAACACTTGCATTGTTTAAATGTTTTAGTTTTAAGAATTTTCGATCCATTGATAAAAAAATAGAAAATATGTCCTTGTTTTAAATGAAGAGTACTAAAACAAGTTTACATAAACCCTTCTTCTGGAAAACCCATTTTGGAAAATTAAAACGTCTTCTTCTTCAGCGTCTGCTGAAGAAAGGCTTATAACTTTTTAGTCTTGTATAGTCGTCATCATCATTAGTAGCTCGACAACCCTTTCTGGGACCTGGCTTGTTTTAGGATTTTCCGCCATTCTGTTTTGTTCCTTGCTTGGTTTTTTCAGTTGGTAATCTTAAGTGTTTTTAGATCATGTTCCACTTGTTCCATGTATCTTAGTTTGGGTCTTCCCTTTGACCTTCTCCATACTGCTGTTTGCCATATTATATGTTTTGGTGTTTCAGTCTCCAACATCCGTTCAACGTGGCCCATCCAGCGTAGACGTCCGATCTTTATCGATGTTATAACCTCGGGTTCATTGTATGCTGTGTATAGTTCAAAATTATATCTTCTGCGCCATATGTCATTTTCTTTCACCCTCTTATATATGTGTCTAAGGAATTTTCGTTCAAACGTACCTAATAGGTTCTTATCGCTTTTCGACAGTGTCCATGCTTCTGATCGATAGACAATGACCGGTTTTATCAGGGTCTTGTATATTTTGCATTTGGTTTTTCTTGTGATGTTGTTAGATCTTAGATGTTTAATGAGTCCAATATAGTCCATTATATTATTAGCGATATGTATTCGTCTATAACTTCTTCACTGACATTGTTATCTGCGGTAACTGGTGAACCTAGATATGTAAAACTTTTCACGCTTTCAATTATAGTCTCCTATTGTCAGATTCTGTAGGTTTCTTTGGCCTGTCGATTTACTGGACTTCATGTATTTGGTTTTTATTTCGTTAATGTTTAGGCCACTGTTTTGTGCCGCTCTTTCTATTGCATTAAATGCTTCTATCTCTCGTTCGCTTCTAGCTATGATATCATAGCTTTTTGTCATTATTGTTCCTCTGGTGTTGACTTTTGGCTCCCTTATTATTTTCTCTAATGTGATGTTGAACAGAATAGAGGATAGGGCATCTCCCTTTCGTAGGCTCGTTCTCACATGGATTGTATCTGTTAGTTCGTTTTGAATTCGAATTTTGCTTTGTAATTTATGTGTTTATTTTACTATATCAATGAGTTGAGTTGGAATATTAAACTCTTTCAGTGCATGGATCAGAAATTCTCGGTGGATGCTATCATAGGCACTCTCAAAGTCAATGAAAAGATGATGGGTGTCTATATTAAATTCACTGGACAACAATTTTTCTGCATATGGTCTTAATCGGTCATACACAATATTGGACAGTATTTTATATGCCACAGTCAGTAGCGCTATTGCCCGGTAGTTTTTACATTGAAGCTGATCTCCCTTTTTATGTAGTGGGATAATTACTCCGGTATTCCAGTCTTGTGGCAGTTGTTTACTATTCCATATGTTCACTATTAGTTCGTGTATGGCATTCAATAGGGAGCCTCCACCTTCCTTTATTAATTCTGCGCTAATGTTGTCTAATCCAGGTGACTTGTTGTTTTTCAGTCTGGCAACTGCTTCTTGCATTTCAGTTACTGAAGGGGGTTGTTTCTCTGGTATTCGTTTGATCGAGTAAAATTTCATCATATAGTGGATCTTCGTTTTTTTTTCAAACTTTTCTTTGAAGTATTTGAATTTGCGAAGTTATTTTTGCAAAACATTTTTCTACATAACACTTATGGATAACAGAAAATACCTTACTCTGTACAGTTTTTCTCCTAAATTTTGACACATACTCCTGTCCAATCTGTCTCATAGACTTTGCAACGTTTTCTTTCCAATGGTCTTTCTGAACAATTTTTTTGCACCTTTTGACACCACATTATATAAAATAGCTTTACAACTAACCATTGCTTTAAAATACACTTAAAGTTACAGTTTAAAATATAACATAACCTCAATCATATTGTAAGAAATTCACCAAAACAGAGTTGATTTAGATGCACAAATCTTTCTCAGCTGTGCCAACACTTCACTAAAAGTAGTAATTTATAAAACCGTAATATTGTAGAAAAATTTGGAAGACTGACAGAAAACATAAAGAGTTCAATTCTGTGTTCTCTGGAAGAAGATTTGTCTTAGACAATAATTAATGATTTCACTAATAATGACAATTTAGAATAAATTTTACTTTTGTTATTTGATTTAAGTACATGGTTCATATATAATTTTTCCATCTAGCTATAGCTTTTGACTATGCTTGATACCCTTTCAGATTTTAATACTAATAGCAGATACATATTACTCACATATTAAATCTTTAGGAATGTCTCCTTGAACTGTGTTTAACATACTCTAAAATAGAATGTTTAAAAATCATAGTCACACCTTTTGTAACGGAAACCTTTCTTATTTCGCGGTTGTTCCAATAGTTGCAAGTTTTCCATTGGTTGATTATTAAACCAGAATATTTCCCATGTATGGTATTTCACTGATAACGTTAATTAAAGTTATCGTTGTATTATAGGCATTTCTGTATTGTGTATTTGTTTTATAGTTTACAAAAAAAATGTTAATACATATTATTCACGTCCCTTCAATGTAATATTCAAATTTTTGTGTTAAAAGTTCTATAAAATAATATTTTATTTACGATCATAATAAAATTATAATATTTATAAAACATATGGAACTGTTTAAGTACATGAAGCTAATTCTGTTTAACCATCTAATCCATAACCACTTCATTTAAACCACACATCAGTTTACTATCACTCTGATTTGTACCATCCCCAACACAACCCCTTTTTATCATTGTCAGAGAGAATTATTAAAAACATTCATAACCCACAAGGTAAACACCGCTTCATAATAATCTCTCCCCTTCTTTTACCATCCCTATACAAACCAAAACAGATACTTACAAACTAAAAAACGGAGCAGCTGGTGTCGAACTGCAACACGTACAGACATACATAACCATCCCATCCCATCCCGCCTTTTATCATTTTAAAAACAAATGAGCCCATCTGTCCAATGGCGAACCGGAACTCCGCCATTTTCTTTCTGACCGTCTTTGTAGGTCGCTATAATAAATGTTACATATTTATAGGCACCCGGAGGTCTCTTTTATTCAATCGAACCATAGGAATATCAATGTTAATAGTATTTATATTTACCTGTATTTTTCTGGTTCTGGATATTTTGTTTGTATTAATAATATACCAACACATTTGTTTTTAATTTTGTTAAATAAGAGGACCTTACATATTTTTGATTATTATAGAAGAAATGATAATTAAACAGATAATTTCAAATAAAACTTTTAAAAAGCCCGACCTTATTGATAATCACTATAAATAATATAATTAAAAATTCATAAAATCATGTAAAAGCTCGTTTTCACGCTGATGATTTAGTGATTTATATCAAAGGCAAAGACTCATCTGTAATATCGAAATCCATACAAAATTTTCTAAAACAACTAGAAGAATGGTCCTACAGCATGAGATTTAGATTTTTTGTATCTAAAAGAGTGGAAATGGTTTTAACAAACCAACATGCTTTCAGTAAATCAATATTATCATTTTATATTTTAGAGCTTATGCTTAAAACATTAAGCACAAGTAAAATTTCTGGGAATGTGGTTGAATCAAAAACTGTCTTGGAAAAACACATAGATCGTTTCGTCGCAAACTGCAATAAAAAATATAACAATATATTAAAAACATTATCTAACAGGGATTTGCTCTGATTATGATACCCTAATTAGTCTATGTAAAGCATTAATTGGATCTGAAATAGATTATGTCTCCATTGTATACACATCTGATACATATGTCTGATAGAATACTGATCCAGTCAGATAGTGGCCTTGTTTGACAAGCTCGAACAGCTTTGTTTTTCTTAGTTCTTTGATTCTTAACTGTTAGTTATCGAAAAGTGGGATGTCCTCAAGGGATTCTAAGTTGTTGGAGTTTACATAGTTTTATGATTCCTTGAAAAGTTTTTTATTGAAAGCGATGGTATTCATTCAAAGACACATATAGGTGTCACTATTTCTTATGTACCAAGTGGTTTTTACCATTTACAACGTTTGATACAATTTTGGTACTTTATACTTATTAGTATGCTTTAACCCACCTCCGCTTTTGGCACTTACTCTATCTTAAATTGAGCGCTGTGTCCAAATTAAACATGGGTAGTTTCCAAGAATATTTTTACCGATATTTTTCATTGCTAATAGCCAGTACATTGACGAAGATTTCAAAGCCATGAATATTTCTTCCTACCGATTCCTCCTTTTTCCTCGAGCTTTCCATTGATTATTAACTGCAGTATCCAGTATCTGCTAACTCTCATTATATGCTACAGATATTAAAGTTTTTTCTTTTTTATCATCTTCGTCGCCTTCGCTATTCTCTTTAAGACTTGCATTGATGCATTGAACCTATCATATTTTAAGCATTCTACAATATGGCATATTCTAATTTGTTTATCCTATTTATATTTATTTGATACACATAGCATTTTAGAAATTTTACTCTTAGTTGAAGTTCAGCTGAGAATTGCACAGTATAGATTTAAGTTTCATAATTGTTCCTCTTACAATTTCTATAAGAATTTTAATTTCTTAATCAAAATTTAGTATGTCGTTTGTACGGCATCCTAGGTATTTAATATGGTTAATTTTTCTAATGGTCTTATTGTTGACAATTAGTTGCATAGGGCAAACGTCTTGTTTACTAACTACAAGTAATTTGTCTTTGATGTATTTACGCTGACCGTTATTGGAGCATTCTCTAGTGACTCAATCTATAAGGAATTAAAGATATTTAATATTGTATATTGATAGTTTCTCAGCCAATTCGAACTCTTCACATTGTTCTTCCAAGACTTGGTTAAATATTATTTCTGAGTATACGCTAAACAAAGTTGAGAGTAACACACAATGTTGTCTGACTCTCCTTTAAATTAAAATTTTGTCTGTTTCTTTGCCGTCTACCAGAATAGAAGCTTCTTAATCCCCATGTATATGTTGTAAAAGTCTCAGATCTCTATCATCTATTCCAATAATTTTTAGATACTCAAACAGCCTATCATCTTGGACCCTATCAAACGTTATTTTAAAATCTATAAAGTGGATATAAACTGGTTTATGTACTTTCCATGATATTTAAATTAATGTTAGCATGTCGGAGACACGGTCTCAGAAAGAAATATCAAAATGATCTTAAAAACATACAAAATTTAAAGAATTATTAATTATATTACTTTTTTCCTTAATTTTTCATTATTGTTTAGTATCAACCATAGACTGAAATCGTACCGTAATTAACAAAAATGACGTAAAGCATATATCATACATCTATATATAAATATAAACCAATTTAAATCTTTGTTTGAGTGTAAAATTAAGGGCTTTTTCAATCCGTGTGAGTATTTTTGAGCGAGCTAAAGCTTCGGAACGCTCGACGTTGTTTTCGTTTTTGTAAGGTGAAGGAAGAAATTCCCTTCCGAGCCATTCCACGCAGTGCGTATCGCATTTTGTTATCGATGAAAATTTTACGCAAGCGCTCTGCAATTAATACAACACATTCTCTGCTATAGAGCTTCGAAGGATTATGTAACAGAGAATTGATGGCATCCCGGGAAATTCCAAGTAAATCACATCCAATTGTTTATAAGACCATTGAATTGTCCCGAAATTCGGAAAGCCTTTCCCGCCGAATCGTATTGTTACGGTTTTAATATTCAAAACAACTTGGGGATTGATGTATTGTTCATTATACAGCTTTTTGAAAAACCATTTCACCAGATCGCTTTACTTATAACGGAACATGTTATATCATGTATCTTACAAAATTCTCACGTGTAGTATGGAAACATTATGCATTACCCCCAATAACTTAATAATCTTTATTTTGTATGAAAAATACTTAAATACGTCAATTTACTTTTCTAGTTTCCCATATTGCGATATAATTCATTTGCTTTTTTTAGTTACATCGGTTAAAAATATCACGTTAACAATATTGTATAACATATGATACATCATTGCCAAGATATAAGATCTTGTTTCACCCAGTAAGTTCTCAGACTGCTAAGTATTTATGTTAGGACTTTCGAAAATTGACTCAGTAATGACAGTTTCCTTTCAGTCTCATGTTAAATATTTAAGTTTCCCTAGTTTTAACAGTTGTCACCAATTTGCATTTCATAAAGGAAAAGCAACATGAATGTTAGGGAAATTCCACGAGGAAACTAAGTTCCTGTAGCTGACTGTATACCATATATCACAAAAAAATTTTGTTTAAAATCCTTTATAAAAGGTATATAAAAATGCCCCAAACGGGTTATCACAAACACATTGCAAAACGTTTTCGTATTAAACAATCCATCATCAGTGCAAACCTGAAAGTATATAACCACTTTAATTAAAAAGAACGTTAAATTAAAATGTTGACAAAGGTTAGAGCAAAATGTGGTTAATACTTACGGTTGTACATGCTAGTTGCCACCAAAACAGGGCCACCAATTAGGGAAATAGTTACTCACAATCCGTTATAGGCTTTCTTAAAGTTGGAAAAAGCATCCTCATGCCTTGAAGAAAATAAGTAAGTTTTTATCACTGGAGACCTGAAATTCAGAGGTCATGCTAGAAAAACTAACTAGAATCTATAACATCATCATCATTCTGACTTTACAACCTTGCGTGGGTCCTAGCCCCCTCAATACCGTCTCTTCAGTCGTCCTTATCCATCGCCTTCCTCTCCTAAGCACGTATTTTCATAGTTCCTCTGTCATCATCGATGTTTTCAAGAAACCTTGTTCTGGGTCTTTCCTTTCTTCTCTAAGCAATGGGTCTTTCAAGAACGTTTTTCTAGCTGGGTCACTTTGTTTCATCCGCATTACATACCATATCCACCTATCTTAATATGTTTTACGATATCTGGTTCCTGGTGTATTCTATAAAGTTCGAAGTTATATCGTCTTTTTCACACTTCATTGTCATTCACTACTCCATTGATTCTCCTTAGTACTTTTCTTTCAAAACGTCAAACATATTTTTATTACCTTTTTTTTAAGCTCCTGGTCTCTGAACCATATTTCGGACTGGATGTATTATTGTCTTGTTAGAATAAGTCGACTCTATAACAACGATTAGATACATTTTCATGTTACATTGGATGTATAGATCAGAATTGTACTGACATCCTTAGTCTCTTGATGGCCTAAAGATGCTACATAATTGTTTTAACAGCGAACCCGGTAGCTCATTCTCTTTTTTCATTTTGAATATAACTGATATCGGATTGTAAGCAGAAGACCTATTTCCCTAACATTCATGAATATATGCTCACACCAGCAACCTTTTTATCATTTGAAAAGTAACATGTTTACAGATTTATTAATACATTAGCGCCTTTGGCTAAGCAAAATAAGCTTTAATTTCAGACTTTTTGATAGTCACTTGGAAGATGTGGTTAAAAAAGGGATTTACGCTTATTTGCTACTTAAATATTCAAAATTTTATAACGTAATACTGTTATTAAGTCTGCTTTACATCTAATAGAAAGTTTGATATGAAGTTATTATACACTTTTATAGTGAATGGGTAAATTTAGAATATTGGATAGTATTCGATTTAATATATGTAAAATAAACAAATTTGTTTCTTTAGCAAAAGTCATAGGAAAAACCTTTTACATGTTTCTTTATGGTTTGAATAAAAAAAATATAGGCGATTAACCATTTTTTATTGTCTTTTGCATTGGTTTTAAATCCCATTCTTTGGGAAATTTCGAAAAAAGTTAATCGTGCAGGTTCCATTGTTTAATTTGTTTCTTCTTCTTCGCGTGCGATATCAGAATTATCCGACGTTGGAGATCACCATTGCGAAAGCTTAATATGAAATAATTGTCCTGCATTCAGTATCTGCGTCCATTCACGAATGTTTTTAACCAAGAAACTTGTTTTCTTCCTACACCTCTACGGCCCTCTATTTTGCCTTTACGGATCAGTTGTAATATTTGATATTGACTTTCCCTTACTATATGTCCCAGATAAGACATTATTGGATGTAACAGTCTTTAGCAGTTCTCTATCTTTGTTGGCGCTCCTTAGTACTTCTCCATTAGTTTTCCTTGCTGTCCAAGCTATCTTTAGCATTAGTCTATGAACCCACATTTACAATGCTTCAATTTTGTTCATGATCGATACTTTTAGCGTCCACACTTCTACATTATACAAAAGAACGGACCAAACATAGCACTTAACCATTCTTTGCCTTAGTTCTAAACTGAGATGGTTATTCTTCTTCTTCCTATGCCGTCCCCATTAACGGAGGTTGGCGACCACATTTTTAAAAGCTTTTCTGTGTTTTGCAACGTGGAATAATTCGTCTACAGTCATGTTTGTCCAGTCTCGAATATTTCGCAGCCATGACTTCCTCTTTCTACCTATTCCCTTTTTGCCATCGACTCTACCCTGCATGATGACCTGCAGAAGACTATATTTATTATTTCTTAGTATGTGTCCAAGGTATGCAGTCTTGCGTACTTTTATCGTTCTCATCAATTTTTTGACTCGACCCATTCTTCTCAGCACTTCGTCATTGGTGACCCTGGCAGTCCATGGAATTCTCAACATTCTCCGGTATATCCAAAGTTCAAAGGCTTCAATCTTTTTAACTATTTGCGCTTTTAGTGTCCATGTTTCTACCCCGTACAATAATTGCGACCAGACGTAACATTCAACAAACCTCAGTCTCAGCGCAATATTCAGATTTTTGTCACAGAACAATTGTTTGAATTTTAAGAACGCTGCCCTTGCCATTTCTATTCGTACCCGGATCTCTTGGTCTGGATCTAATTCTGTGTTGATGTAAGCTTCCAGATATTTATATTTTGTCACTCTCTCTATTTGCTGTCCACCAAGGGTTAGTTCAATATTTATTGGACTCCTTGATACTATCATAAATTTGGTCTTATCTGTGTTGATGTCAAGTCCCATTTGAATGCATTCACTATTTATTGCATCTAGTAAAGTTTGTAGATCTTCTATACTCTCAGTCATAATTACCGTGTCATCTGCAAATCTCATGGTGTTTATGATTTCTCCACCAATTCTTATTCCCTCTTTTCTTTCCCATAAGGCTTTTCTGAATATGACCTGTGAGTACACGTCGAAAAGCGTCGGAGACAAGACGCATCCTTGCCTAACCCCTCTCGCAATCGGTATATTATTTGTTTCTATATCGTTCACCTTTACTACTGCTTTTTGGTTCCAGTATATAGCCTTAATAAACTCAATGTCTTTTTTGTTTAAATTGATGTTTTTTAATTCATCTATTAACTTCATATGCTGCACTCGGTCAAAGACCTTCCTAAAGTCTATGAAGCATACATATGCACTCTTGTTATATTCTCGACATTTCTGCAAGAGTACCGTCAACGCAAATAATGCCTCTCTTGTACCCATGCCTCCTCTGAGCCAAACTGAGTTTCATCTATCTGTTCCTCACATTTCTTATAAATTCGGTTTTGAACAATTTTCAAAAGAATCTTTAAAGGGTGGCACAGAGATGGTTATTACAAAGAAATAACTTCATTTTCATAAAAGTAGTTTTAGTCAGTGCTATTCTACGTTTAATTTCTTTATTTCTATGTCTGGATCTAGTTGGTCCGTTATCACAGTTGAATACCTTCAATATTATCTGATAGAATTACTGTATTGTCTGCATATTTAAACACATTAAGTAGATTAGGAGTTGTTTATCGAAAACAAAAATGAGAAATTTTAATGATTTCTGGAGAACTTGGAAATTTTGGGTGTTTTTGAAAGATTAAAAAAAGATTGGTTGAAAAGAGAGGGTGGAAGGAGAGTTTGAATTTTTGACGGAATTTGGAATCTGTCTGTTGCTGACTGTGCGAAGAAAAAAATCCAATCCTGACAAGTAACTAGTTCCGGCAGTAAAAGTAATTTTTTGTAAGAGTTTAATAAGTGACAGCAGTTCTGGTCTTTAAATGCTGATTGGAAGAAGTTACAGTGGTTAAGACTTTCAGTATTTGTAAGTACAAATAAGTTATTATTCACCGGAAGAATCATAGACAAGCAGATTTTTGACAGGTCTCAGTTTGGTCTCGATACCGTGTAAGCAGTAAGTGAAGGCATTTTCAATAGAAATTTTGACAAAAGAACATCAGAAAAGATTGTACAGTACGACCAGGATAGCAATAGACGTGAACTGCACGTTAACCGTTGTAGGGCTGCAGAATTCATTTGTGGGTGTAAAGCAAAATAAACCCAAGCTG